ATAGCTTCTCAAGCTCACAAATACATGAACACATTGGCTTAAGCGTACTTAGTAGGCAGCCCTGTGTGAATTGCTGTCCTTTCAGCATGAGCCATATTCATTCTTTCCCCTCTTGCACTGACACTGAGAAACCTGGCATCGGATGGCAGAACCCAGATCAGGGTAGAGGAACAAGAGCTGAGACAAGTGAGACCAGTGGTGGCAAACCTAAGGCACTTGTACTGTTTTTCTTTTTAAAAAAAACATGTTAATATATGATTTTTTCTTTTCTTAACTAAAACTTCAGTATTAGCTCTCATTGCCATGTTGGCACTTGGCAATAAATAAGTGGGTTTTGGGTTGTAGTTTGGGCACTCATCTCTAGAAGGGGCTGTCAGAAAGGATGCAATCCTTGGGGTATCTGGTGTTTAAGTGGGGCTTCCTCTCCTCTGCTCAGGGTAGGTGCAACTGGCAGAGGGGAAGGAGGGGATGCCACCACCAGAACTGTTCAAAGGACAGATTGAGAGGGAGGGGAAGGATGTGCGGTAATGACCAGGTTTGCTTCAAGAAGAAACAGGTTAGAGAGGTGTGAGTCTTTTGGAACATGACACAAGGCCAGCCCCCTGGTCTGAGGCTAAGTAGTCCTTGAGCCAGTGGTCACAGAACATGTCAATGCAGAGGGTAATATTTCTTTGTAATTTCTTTTCTGCACTTTATTTTATCCTGGCTCACTACTTCATAGATTCTGAGATTTGTAACAGTCCCTAGAGATCATTTGATTCAAGCCCCCTGCCCATGTGGAAATCTTCTTTACACATTCAGAGCAGATGACCATCCTTTCTGGTGTCCCCTTTGTTATAACTTAGTTTCTATAGTGATAGGCTTTTATAGGGCATCATTAACTTAAGGACTTTACTTTTCAAGTTTTGTAGAAGCAGCTGCCTTTGCTCTATGTGTGTGTGTGAGACTATCTCAAATTAGACTCTGGGACTTTCTGGCCTCCTATGAGTGGAGGTAGAAAAGGGCAAAGGAGGACATGTCAGTCAAGACTCCTGGGCTGGTTTAAAGAGAGGAAGGAGTGATTGGAGGGCTGCTGGCTTCAGAAAAGTTGTTCTGACCTTGAGTGTTGTTCTAGTAAAATAACATTAATCAACACATTTGGTTTGTACATGTAACCCACATGCAGAGAATAATTTTAGAAACATCCAAAGCACTCACACAGAAATTAACATCTGGAGGGCCTGGGATTATTCAGTTTCTCTGTTGTACATTCTGCTCTTTTCACACTGTGGTGTGAGCATCTCCTGTATCATGCCACAGTCTTCCACACCACAGTCCCTAGTTACACTTCATATTCTGCAGAACAGCTGGGGATTATTTAACCAGCCCCTTCCAGAACCTCTCACTTCCTGCCTCCTCATGCTGGTCAGGGAAGCTTCTCTGGCAAAGCTCTTCTTAATCTGCCTTGACTCTCATCCAACACATGAGCACTTGTCCCAGTGCATCAGGATGGGATGATACAATTACAGTGTTTCCTGGGAGTAATCACTGTGGGGCGGCGGAGTCCATCTTCCGGCTTTGTGTGGATGATGTGTTAATTACACTCTGTCAAGCCACAAACTTCTATTCCCCAAGCCTCTCTCAGTAAGCATAAGCATTTTTTGTTTCATGCTGCAAGTGATGATAAGTCTAAATGGTCCCTTTGCATCAGCCATGGCTGCCAACTTTGACTCCACTGACTTGCTACAGTGAAGGCCTGAGGCTTGTATTGGACCAGAGTGGGCTGTGGCAGGACTGCCAGGCTTGTGTCCTGCGACAGCTCACAGAGGCCAAAGGGTAGACCCTGGGCCCCTACTTCAGGAAAGGCAGTCCTGCTCACATGCTTCCACCTCCTGTCCCTTCTGCTCTCTGCTGGCCCTCATCCAAAGGGGGCACTGCTGTGCTCATGAAAAGTGGTGGCAAACCTGGAAGTGGAAGGCAAACACTTGCAGCAGGATTCTAGGGAAACTTCCATGGAAACCTCCTGAGAAGGACAAAGTGACTCAGGGATCTAATGCTAAAGAATCATGCATATGTCTGGATCAGATGGACTTACTGATATTGATTATTCTGCCTTTGTAACACACACACACACACACACACACACACACACACACACACACACATTTTAACCCTTTAAAAAGTCCTTGGTCAATAGGATTTGACTTGCTGGCTTGACCTCTGAATCCCCCATTCTGTTTTACTTGCTCCTGACTGCACTACTGCTCATAAGGCCAGCCTTGGTACTTTGTCCCTAACCTGTGTGGCTCTACTAACTTTCATCTCTGTCCATGTGCATCACACCCTGGATATTGTCATTGTCTTGCCTCATCTTGCTCCCACCTACATTCTTTTGCTATATCTGCTAGTCTCACTGGGGGTCCTTGGGGTCAAGGTAGGCATCTTCATATAAAAGAGTACCCTTTTCTTCTTGTTATATTCTTGTTACTGGCTTAAACAATGCTGCATATGCTCTGGGTCTCTATCTTACCTGTGTGGCTTTGAAGGTGGTAGATGTGGATACAGAAGGAAAGGAAGGAGTAGGAAAGGAAGAGGTTCTGCACTGTGGTGTATGCGATTTCCCACCCCATGCCCCTATTCTAGCACAGACCTTCCCTTCTAGCTGTAGACGTGTGCACTTGACCCAGGCCAAGTTAATCGTGTACCCATTTTCCTAGGCATGGCCATCAGCCCAGGGCTGTGATATCCATATCAAGTTAATAAAAATTTGTCCCTGGATCCATATCAAGTTAATCAAAATTTGTATCCTTTTTATACTCAGGACACTTGGAGAGAAAAGCTCTTTCCATTGGGTTTGCTAAGCAAAGGCTGCCATGTTGTGTTCTATGTGGACAAGGTGAGCAAACAAAGTCAGAATTTAAAGCAGAACAAAGACAAGCAGAAGTGAAGAGAAAGAGAAGATGTGCTGTAGAGTCTTCAACCCAGCATGGTCTTTAGAATCAGGGTCCCCTCCATCACTACTTCATTTATGTGAAAATTCTCAGCATCTTTCACAATGGAGCCAATTCTTTTTTCTTTCATAAGTGAATTTTTGATGCCTTCTGATGTATGTGGCCAAAAGAAAACTGGCTAATGTGCACTCTGATGGCAGCAGGTGCCAGTTTGATTTGTGGGTAGGGAAAAGACATCACTCTAAGAAGTACAGAAAATAACACAAGGACAGTTTGAGGAAGGTTTGTGTCCTACAGGCAGGCAGAAGCAGTCTCCTGCCACAACAATTTGGATTATGAAAGCAAAATATGACCTTGTTTTATAATCAGAGGCTGGTGAAGCCAAGAGCGTGTGGGCTCCACTTGCACAAATTGCTGACATGCTGTCTTGGTTAATTTTATCTCATTGCTGGGACAAAATGCCTGACACCCCGAATTAAGGAAGGAAAGTTTTATTTAGCTCACAGTTAGTGGAGGTTTCAGTCCATACTTGGCTGGCTCCAAGGAAGACTGGCACGTGACAGAGGGCAGCAGTTCATGGTGGTGGAAGACAGCAAAGAGCAAAAGGAGGAGCAGCAGCTGTGGAAGCTGGGTCATGAATTAATCAGAAATTCTACAAGCCTACCCCAATGACTGGATGAGGCTTTGCGGGAGACAGCTAGACACAAATCAGAACATTCTACCTCTGGTCCCACAGTATCAGCATTCCTGAAAACTCCAATTCCCAAGTCTCCTGGAAGATCTAAGGCAAACTCTTAGCTGTGAGCTTCTGTACAAATGAAAAATTAAACACAATCAATGGCACAAGAAAAACTTTACCATTCCAGAATGTATAAACAGGAAGATACAAACCATTGGGATCAAAGCAAGTCCAAAATCCAGAAGGGCAAACATTAAGTCCTTTAGTTCCATGTGGAACATCCAGAGCAATCTGTGCCAAACTGTAAGCTCCATGTGGCTCCACCCCTATGGCATTTTGGTGGTTGTACGCCATATAACTTTTTTCTTAGGCCTGCTTTGCTTCCTCCTTGCAATTTTTCTTAGGTGATCCACATTCTTGGCTTTTGCAAACTCCTGGGGTTTCCAGTGAATAGGTCCCTCACTCACAGCTTTATACACTTCCCTCTCAGGGACACACTGCCTGGCCTCCAAGGCCTTCTAAAATCTAGGTGGAAGACAGCTTAACCTCAACACTCTTGCATTCTGCATGTGCCTAAAACCAGTGCCACATGGATGATGCTGAGGTCTGCTGCCACCTGAAGCAATGGCCAGGCTTTCTTCTCTCTTGGTTATGGGGTTGAGTGCCTGGATGGCTGATCACTGTGACCCTGATTCTGAGGAACAAATTCTATATGCCACTGCCATTCTGGAACCTGGTGTGGTTGCTGCCACCATTCTAACACATGGCACTCTGCAACTTTTTCCTCAAAGCAAACTTTCACTTTTGTATTTCTGAGGCTGCTAAGGGTGGAGTCCTGCTTCACGTCATTCTCTCAGGTTATCTTTTCTATGTTCTTATTTCTTCTCAGCAGTGGAGATCCTCTCAGCTGTATCTTTGCAGTCCACAGCTTTACTGGAGCTTTCTTTCTGGCCAAATTCACAACATTTTAAATCATCCTACTGGTTCTTTGTTCTTGATTCTCAACATAAATCTGACTAAAAGCCCCCAATAATAGCCATCCACCACCTCAACATTACTGCCTTGAAATTTCTTCTGCCTTTAATCTCAGTCTCAGGTGAAGTCTTTTTTTTTTTTTTTTTTTTTTTGAGGGCTGATACAGAGTTTATTGAATTAGGATTTTCTATTTACAATTGAGATCACATCTACATACTATTCTGCTAGTCTACATGGATACATTACCTCTAACGAGCTTAAGACTTATGATGGTGGGCTCAGTCACACACACTCACTCACTGCTTTAAAGCAGTAATGCATACATTACACTCCTCCTATAAAGCCAACTTTGATTAAAAACCACTAGTTTGAAAGACCAGTCTGATTTTTAAGATGAACAAAGAAGATACACGCTGTGTGATCTAAAGTCTATCTTAGCCACTTTGTACAGTTGCTATCTTATTGGACTACAGTATATATTTGTAAAGGACACCAATTAGGGGCACCATCTGGTGTTCATTTTACCAGACAATTGGCTTCCTCTCCTCCCCGCGAAGCTCTGACCAGAGTTCTCCGTTGTGAAGACAGAAAGGACCCAGCAATCCCGCGGCAGAGACCCATCATTACTCGGAGGCTGCCTTTATCCTACCATGCTATGCAACTTGCAAATAGTTCAGAAATGGGAACATGGACTGCCAAACTTAAAACCCAGGGACACAGAGTGTCGGCTAGAATGAGGCAAAAAAGCCATGGGCAGGAAAGTAAGTGGTGGGTATGAAAAGCCAAGGTACTCTGCCCGACACCAGCATTCATGCGCTTCAGCCAGAGCCCTCGGAGCCAGCGCAGCAGAACTGCTCAGTCCACCTCCAGGTCATGCAAGACTGAGGCTCAGCCGGGCCTCTGCTAGGCGTAGGTGCCCCCGGTGATGAGGAGCTCGTAGGCAGGGTCTCTACTTCTCCTGCACAGCACGATGCAGGCGCACAGCATGCCCAGCAGCTGGATGGCTGCGAAGGCCAGTGCTGCCCAGATGACATGCATCATGATCTCCTGCAGCTTCTTTACAACCAGAGCCTCGCACCCCTCAGTGTAGAGGTCGGAAGGGTTGGCCAGGCTGCCGTTACAGTTGCTTGCAGTCTCTCTGCAGCAGCTAAGAGGGACACTCTGGTTTTTGGTTTCTTTGAACCAATCTGTGTTTTCCCAGTCTGAATAGTTATGAATTCCACAACAGTGCAGCTGCCTCTGCACATAGTCAATAGCCTGGCTGGCAGCGTCGGGGTTGGTTCCGTTGTAAGTCTTATACACTTTCTGAATGCTTCGGTCAACCTCATTTTCCACCTTTGCTCTGTAAATGTATCCCAAAACAACTACGACAACTTCTGTGACAAAAACCAAGAGCAGGATGATGACAAACGTGGCGAGTCTGCAGCGGCTTTCCCGGATCGTGGCGCAGCAGCCAATGAGCCCAATGATGAAAAGCAGGGCTCCCACAGCGATGATCACCACAGCAGGGATGAGCGTGTAGACATCCTCAAAGAAGTGGTCATAGTCATCATAGGTGATGAAGACGTACGCGCCTACGTAGCACAGAATGCCAGCTGCCCCCCAGAAGATGAGGTTGAGGAAGACCAGCACGGTCTTCGAGGAGGTGATGCCGCATTGGCCCATGGCGCCAGCGGCCGCAGACCCCCACCGGCCAGCGGGGCGGCGCTCCCCGAGTGCGGCGGCAATGGCGGCGACGCCTCCCCCTCAGGTGAAGTCTTGAGACATGAATAAAATGCAGACAAACTTTCTGCCAATCCATAATGTATATCATCTGGAGTCCAACACCTGGTGCATTCATTTTTTTTTCCAGCAGAAACCTCCTCAGCCAGGTCTTTACAAGAAGGATTTCTATCAGCATTCTGGTTTTCTGAGCTCTGACCAGAATCTCCTATACAGAACAGCCAAAAGCATTCCAGCACTTCTCTTTCAGATGACTTCTCCAAACTCTTCCTATCTCTTCCCATAAGCATTCTCAAAGGCTTGTAATCCAGATGGTCAGGTATAGCCATAGAAACGACCCCACTTCTTGGTGTCAAATTCTGTCTTAGTTATTTTTTCCTTGTAGCTGGAGTAAAATACTCAACACCCCAAATTAAGGAAAGAAAAGTTTATTTACCTCATAGTTTGTGGTGGTTTCAGTACATAAGCAGCTGGCTCCAAGGCAGAGAGGCACATGGCAGAGTGCAGCAGTTCATGGTGGCAGAAGACAGCAAAGAGCAAAGGGAAGGGCAGTGGCTGCCATAGCTAGCAAGCCTCTTTCTCCTCCTTATATTGTATTCAGGATATCCTCACCAGGGCAGGTGTAGCACTCGCACCCATCATCCAGCATTGGATCATGAATTAATCACAAACTCTAGAAGCCCACCCCAATGACTGCATGAGGCTTTGAGGGAGACAACTGGAAATAAAGTATCACACCTGCACTGGCTCTTGGCTGGACCTCTGTACCGGCCATGTGCAGACACATGGAGCTGAGTCATGGAGATCACTGAACTGCACACACTTCCTCTTTACTCCCACTCTCTTCAGAGGGATGTTTCTGAGAGAAGATTGTAAGGTGTAAAGGAAGATAAGTATAAAGGAGGAGAGACAATTGGGTATCACATCAAGATTAGTGATTGAAGGTAGGTGTTTGGGGAGGGGAGTAAGCTAGAAAAAATGCTAAGGGAAAAGCAGGTATGTGTATGAGAGAGAGATTCACAGTTGAAGATAGTACATAGATGGTGTGTGCGGAGCACCAAGATCTGTTCTGCTGTATTGGCAGGTGCTTGGGGACATTAGGAGCTCAAGTCAGAGTTCAGGCCAGGACCCAAGAACTGGATATCACAGAACTATAGATGGGATTGCAACCACAAGTACTGGATAACCTTCTCTCATAAGATGGGTGTATTTAGACTCCTAGACCTATGAGATCCAATCTCGATAAGCCGAATGATATAAAACAACAGAAATTTGTTGTCTTACAATTTAAGGTAAAAATGTACAATGTATTAATTATTGAAAATGTCCTATTAATCAGCTTGGAAAGTGTCTCATTGATATTTGTTTCTCAATAAAAAAAATTTAAAAAACCAATTTAAAGTAAAAGTCCAAAACCAGTTCTCTCTGAAAGTTATAAGTAAGTCTTCTCCTTTGCCTTTCTCAACTTCTGGTGATGGTTGAGCTTTCCTTGATGTCCAACTACAATGCTCCAATCTCTGCTCCATAATCTCATGACCTTTCTCTCTCTCTCTCTCTCTCTCTCTCTCTCTCTCTCTCTCTCTCTCTCTGTATCTGTCCCTTCCTGTGTGTTCTTTCCTTTTCTGATAGGAACAATAGTCCCCTAGGATTTAGGGCCCACTCTGATCCAATATGGTCTTATCTTAACTAATCACTTCTGCTGAGACCCTGCCTTTGGAAGTTGTACATAGACATGAATCAGAAGGAGGCTGTTCTACCCAATTACATGGTGACAAGCACTCGGAGTGAACCTTTTAGAAATGAATGCCCAAACTGCAACCCCAAACCCACTTATTGCAAAGTGACAACACTGCAATTAAATTTGAAAACTGAGATTTTAGTTTAGAAAAAAACCATTTCTATCCAATGCTCACTTACTGGGGTGACTTGGTTCTTGTGCTGGCAGAGAGGTCTTTGTATCTCTATGGTGGCATGTGTGTCATGGATTCAACACCACTGGTGAAAAGGAATAAAAGCAAGCAACACTCTGGTGGGTAAAAGGAACCTGTTTGTTGAGAAATGAAAAGAAAGATAGAGGAGGAAAAATATAAGGCAGAAGAGGGGGGATATGGGGCAAAGGCTGAAAGAGTTGGGGAATGAGTAGTGAGAAACATATTTGCCTGGTATACGGTTGTACCCCTGATACTGATTGAACAAAAAAAGAGACTCTATTTTTTTTTTTTTTTTTGCAGAACCAGGGATTGAACTCAGGCCCCTGCCCTTGCCAGGGAAGTACTTATTCCACTGAGCCATCTCCCCAGCCCTGGAGACTCTATTTTTTTTTTTTTTTTTTTTCAGAACCAGGGATTGAACTCAGGCCCCTGCCCTTGCCAGGGAAGTACTTATTCCACTGAGCCATCTCCCCAGCCCTGGAGACTCTATTTTTTTTTTTTTTTTTTTGGAACCAGGGATTGAACTCAGGCCCTTGTGTTTGCCAGGGAAGCGCTTATTCCACTGAGCCATCTCCCCGGCCCCTGAGACTCTATTTTAAGGAAGGGCCACTTAAGTTAAACTCACTCCTTCAGCTCCTCCCATTTAGCTAACCATAAACTTAGAAAAAGCAGTATCATAAAATAGAAACAAATAGAACAACTTGGGGAATAAGGCAATCATTAAGCCACACTGCCCCGCAATACACACATGGTCAACAGTGTCTGGGAAATGTAAACCTTGTAGCACTCCTGTGACATTCTTGTACAATTCCTGAAAATGCAGTAATGAGGTAATGTGGTTACTATGGAAACCTGAAAAGTATATAACCTAAAAACAAAGTTCAGGCTGGTACCAACAATTTGGGGGTCTTGACCCAAAGTCAGGATATAAGTCTTGAAAGAACATTTAAAAGATTTTTTTGTTCCCACAATTTTTCTTTCTCATGAGAGCTTTCTTCACTGAAACCGCTGCAGCAAGTGGCTGCTACTTTTTCGGACAGCTGCATGACATTTGGAATATTCTTGCTTAGGATGTAGCCTTGAGTTTTCAGTTCAAAGTACAGTCCTCAGGTGAGATCAGCTCAGTGCCTGACCACCTGATATGGAACAACCAAATCATTTGAGATTAGAGTGTCCCTCTAATGCTATGAAGGCCCCTCTGAGCTTCCTTATTGGGGGTAATGTGAAGTATGCTACTTAAATGAGCTAAATTATGAAAGTGCACCCTTCTGTACTGAGTCTGGTAACTATCTTGCTCTTATATCAGAGCACTTATCTTCAAAGCATTCAGTACCAGGCAAAAGCCTTGACTTTTTTTCCCCTTTGAAAAGAAATAATCAGAATGTCTGCTCTATCCAGCACTTTGGATGTGTGATTTCATTATTCATGGTTAGTGCGCCTCTTCTGCCTTCTGATCTGTAGTTACGGAATGTGTGCATAGGAGGCTTTCTGTTCTCTTTAACCTCTCAGCCCAGAATAACTTTCCATTTATTCATCTGATAAAGTGCTGATACCGTGAGCCAGCATATTTTAAATTTATCAAGACACAAACACAGCATTAGATTTATCTAGCCCAGATCAGCAACTAGGTTCCTGTCGGCGCTCCTCAAGTGTTTGTTGGTGATGAACAGCAAGTGGGACCTGTGGAGTTTTTCCCAACCATAAAATCCAGGAGGAGGAAGGAAAATGCCAGTGCTGCAGTTGTAAGAACAACCCACATTCTACCACTAGCATTATACTCTATTATTAGTGTGGCAAAGTAAATATATGAATAATTTCAGCCTTGACTAATGAAGAAATCCCTAAAATATACACAAAAAAAACCTTTCAATTAACATTTTTCATTAGAACCAGATGTGGTAGTGTATGCCTGTAATCCCAGCACATGGAAGGCTGGCGCAGAAGAATGACCTTCAGTTCCAGATCAGTCTGAGCTACATAGTCACAAAAAAGTAATAAATAGACAAATACGCAAATAAAATAAGGGCCGGCCAAACACCTCAGTGGATTAAAGCACCTGAAAGGAGGTGCAGGGGCCAGGGGTTTGATCCCTGGGCCTGCTATGCTGGCCCAGCCCTTGGGGCACCCTGAGACGGCAATTGAGACTAGACATGGTGGCGCATGCCTGTAATCCCAGCTCTTGGGAGGCTGTAAACAGGTGAATCACTATGAGTCTGATCTAGTGGTGAGACCCTGAACACCCTGTGAACCTTTCCCTAAAAAAATACAAAAAAAGAAAAATAATAATAATAAAATAAAATTCTTCAATGGCTCTATACTTTTCTGATAAGGACCCTATCATTAACTTCTGAGGACCCTGCCTGTGTCTCTAGCCTGGCCTTGCCCCAGTCTCCCCTTTTTCTTCTGCTCTCAGATATTCCACCTGGCTTTAATTCCAGAGGAATGATACTTCCCCTCACTTCTTCCTGTGAGTTCAGTGTTCATTTTTTACTTTACCTGTGTGTATCTCCCACTTGTCCTCTTTTTACCTCAGCAATCATTTTCCTGAGGAAGCCTTTCCTGATTTACTCTCTCTTCCACCTACTGTTCTCCTTGATCAGTAGGGTCAAGGCACAGCACTGTGTTTGCTTGTGAAGAACTTCTGTAAAGTCATAATCAGCTGGATATGTTGCAATGAGAAGTGCTATGACAGCTCAAGGGCAGATAGAAGAACCATTGAGATTGAGACAGTTACCACAGGGCCAAGCCTATGAATTACCCCATCCTCAGAACTCATGTGTGTGTGCATATGAGTAGACATATTTATGGCCCTGTGTACACATTATAACATAATCATCATTAGATGGAGACATTCTTTATTGATTATTTATACATTGTAAGTGCTTTCAGAATATGAAAATGTATCTGTTTTGCCTTTGAGTCCTACAATGTCTAACCATACAGGAATAGACAGAAAATCCTTGATAAAATGTATTGAATTAGTTTAATAGGTCATGTGCTAATTATTTTAGAAGCATTTTCTTATATATTTCTGGGAAATATGGGAATCTTTATCTCTTCTCATTAATAACATTTTT